ACACACACACACACACACACACACACACACACACACACACACACACATATAAATCACTGCGCCTGATTTCTGGGGTTCAGGGTTTAAATAATTAAAGAGCTTTAATTTATCAGGATTTAGACCCGCTAACAGTAAGGCTGACAAGAGAGAGAGAATGAGAGATATATATTGAGAAAGAAAACGGTCATCATACATTGAGAAACACGTACAAAATTATTACATTTTACCGGAGAGGAAAAAACAAACAAACCGAACGTCTAGGCGGCACCAAAGACTACGTGAAAAGGCATTAAGGTTGTGCTCTGGAGCTACTTGATCGGAGTGCGTTACGTTTTATTGACCTGTTGGTGAAAAGACAAAATGTAATGCAGCCTCGCTGTGTGTGGTTGATTTGTGACAGTTACAAGTCATTGGGACACAACACTGGAGGGAAGTAAGCGACACAATCCACAGGAGTGAAAACCAACAGAAAGAAAAGAAAATCAGGCAAAGTCAAAGTGAATATTGTTGTTTCTTCACATGCTTTCTGATTATGAGGCACACACATAATATCCATGTTCACCTGTTCTCTTTACAGAACTGTCGTCAGAGATGTTCACATTACAAACGCCATCAAAACAAACTGGAGTTTGTTTCTTTAGTGATGAAGACAAAAAGAAAAACACGCAACAGTAAGTTACATTTAAAAATCTTAAAAGTCGTGTCACACCATGACGTTATGGTTACTCATGAAACAAGTATGCATCCCCTCCACCAAACCCTTTCCGTGTGCTGCATGTGAAGAACGACACAGTGACATGAACAGAATGCTGTTATGTCTTTGCGACAGAGGACGACCAGAGAGCAGGTGGAGCTCTGCTGCCCCCCTCTGGCCGGAAGCATGCAGGTAAAACCTCTAAGTGACGACAAGAACAGAAAGTAAATCACAGAACGACCCACCACGACGATACACTGATGCTCTCCTACTTGCATCGTTTGGTTTTCACCCAACTGAACTATTAGCCCTATGAGGAGTTTTGGAAGTCAGGAACAAGATCTACCAGCAGGCACAGAGACGGAAGGGAGAAACGTTACAATAAAGCAAACGGCCAACAATCTGGCTTCTGTTTCACCCTCTTATTATTTATTCTTTCCAGTAGATCTCTGAGAAAACAGAATGAGCACACACTCGGCTCTCTCACACACTTCACCCAGGAACAGAAAACTTAGTAAAACAACCCTCTCCACTTGTTTGAGAGTGAACATGCAGAGTCGCTCTCCAGTTATTATATATTATCATTAAGAGAACAACTCGACGAGTCCGTCGTTTAGCCACCTAGTGGTCGAACCCTCTCATTACATCAAGTATTGACGACGGGGGAGATTTAATCACAACTTTGGAAGTTTTTGGCTCTATGACGTCATAGTGTCACAAACGAACAAACAGCTGGGACGAACATAGTTTAGGTATTCGACAGACTATCAAGTCTACAGACTCAACGTTTTTTTGGGGGGGGGG